ATGTGTGTAAATGATTATAAATTTGCACAAATAATTTTGCTTTAAAATTTTAACTTGATGACAATTTAGATTTTTTGGAATCCATTTCACTTTTATGACTGCATTCTCTGTTCAAATAATAATTTCTGTTTAAATCACCACAAACGTTTTAAATACAGCATATATTGTATAAAAAAGATTTACATTTATTTTTTACTTTCCCTCATTTTGGGACAAATGAATGGCTGCTGAAAATTCAGCTTTGCCATCACATTAATAAATTATTCTTTAAAATATACTTCCTAATATGACTGTTTTTACAGTATAATTTTCTTTTTGTATTAATGTATCCTTGGTGAGCATGAGAGACTTGCAAAAACAATGACGGGGGGACAGCCCGTTCAACACTACTTTCAATGTACGGAAAACGGCAGCATGAACATTCCTTAGAACATCTCTTTTTGTGAAGAAAGCAAGTCATACAGGTTCGGAACAACATAAGGATGAAGTATATCCTTTTTTCCAATTTCCATATACATTTTTGCTTTGAATCAAAGTTTGAAATGCTGTAAATGGGAAAAATACTTCTGCATTCACTACTGTGCTCTATTCCAGAAAGAAAGACGCACCTGGAATCTCTCGTCAGTTTCTCCTTCTCCCATTTGTTTCAAAAGATCTCCGCTGGCCTGGCCGATGCTGCCTGCCGCTGTCAACACCGTCTGTCTGGGCTGTGGGGTGATATTGGCACATAAGAAATGACCTTCGTACTGCCACCGCAACGTCTCAAAACGTAAACGCACGGCTAATCACATCCTGTCCATCCGCTCTGCACCCCACTACAATTACCCTGTCTAGCACAAGCCAAACAAGTAAACAGATTGGGACTGCGCTCTGCAAACCAGGATGGAAAAACACAGCTTAACGAGTTCATTATCAAATCCGCCTGTAAACAGCAGTGCGTTATTGGCGGATTAGATGTGATGGGGTCGAGGGGTTTGCGTGTTTGCATTCGTCACCTCTCCAGAAGCTGGTTCCACGGCTCTGAGCAGGTCAGAAACGGCCCCTGTGAGGCTCCGGGCCGCCCCCATTAGATTCTGCCCGCTGCCCACCTCGTCCTCCATCAGAGCCGCCAGGAGCTTCACCCCTTTGGACATCTCGGTCAGGTTGGAGGAGATGGTGGTGATGGCGCAGCCCACAGCGGTGTAATCTGTGTTCGTAGGGTCACCTGGAAGAGAGATGGACAAAGAGTGAGAGATTTAAAGTTAGAGTTCACTTAAAAACAGAAACACACTTTCAGTAATTATTCACATATTCTGGAAATGATGGTGGCGGAAATTAAATGTTTGTTATATTTCTGAATTAAAAAGGCTCTTTTGTCTGGCTAAGAGTAATTAAAAATATTATTAAAATATAATATATAAATAAAATGAAAGATATCTATTATTTTGTGTCTCAAATACACACAATTAAACCATGTTTAAGTCATAATTTCACAATTTCTGCATAACTTGACAAGTGCTGTTACTGTTAACTGAAACAAACTATTAAAAATCATTTTCAGTAATTGAAATAAAACTGAAACAAAATAAAATGTTACTATTAGATGAAAAAAATTATCTAAAACAAAAATGAGAAATCTTGTCTTAACAAATAACTGAAATAAACAAGTTTAAGTACTAAAATTGCTTAAACTAAAAACAAAAACAAAATAAATAAATATATATATATATATTTTTAAATCACATAAAATTACTAAACCTTAAATTTTAAACTAACAATTAAAATAAAAACTGAATGAATTCAATTGAATCATAATTTCACATAACTTGACAGGTGCTGTAATTGTTAACTGAAACTAAAACTATTAAAAATCATTGTAAGTAATTGAAATAAAACTGAAATAAAAATATAGTACTATTAGATGACAATCTATAACAAAAATGAATAACGCTATCTCAGCAACTAACTGAAATAAATACGTTAAAGTACTAAAATTACTAAAACTAAAAAAATACAAATTAAAGGTACTGTATATAGAAAAAAACACACAAAAACCCTAAAACTTGCATTTAAATAATTTAAACTTACATTTAAAATTAAAACTAAGAATATAAAAAATGAAGTTAATTCAAAATATTAATTAAAACTAAATAATACTAAATTAACACTACAAAACTACAGCTTTGAAATGATGCACAATAAAAATAGATCAAATTTAGTTGACTTTTCTTAAACATCACTTTTTTAAACATTACATGACTCGTTTTATCTTAAGATATTCTCTGACACAGTTGTATTCTTGGTAACCTAACACATAAAAAAAAAAAGAAAAAAAAAAGAGATGAACTGAAAAAAAAAGTGACTGAAATGACACCACAACTCAATTTTCATAGTAACTGAAATAAATTATTTTTACAGATTTGTTTGTTAATTTCACTCTGTTTACTTGATTATAGTTTTAAATATGTAATAATTCATATATTTATATTACTGACCAGTATTTTAAGACTGAATTTGATAAGTAGGAAAAATAAAGAATGATTCGATAAACTGATGAATTGTTCACAATAAAACCAGGAGCAAGTAGAGCCAATTTTACTTTCATGGCTTTAACATGCACCGCTCAGATCTGCAGCGTGCTATAATGTGATCATTATTAGTGATCTCATTCAAAATGAGATCCATATGAAGCCAAACACACATGCATTCCATCTCTAGTGCACACATCCACACTTCACATCATATCCTAACAAGCTCTTCAGGGCATGAGAGCAGATGTAAAGCACAGGCTGCAAAAAAGCAGTAAAGTTTGAGCTGGGCTGCTGGTTAACAGGCAAATCTCCGCACTATCAAACAGATGGCACGAGGAGATTAAATCCAGCAAAAACCTGGTCTGGTCCGCATGGAAGCTCTCCAGAACGTGGGAAGGAATACACAAATCCTGCCAAACAGTTCAGCTTCAGGACAACAAACTTCACATTCATTAATGGATATATTTATTAGTGCAATTGGAGAGTGACTTATTATTTAGCAGCGAGAGGAAACATATTTTCCCTTCATCAGTTGCTGGTAAAAACCAATAAAAGTAGGTATTGCATGTGTCAATTTCTACAAAATCATCATCATTTTCATCCACTACTGGTATTGGACAAATGATGTTTATTCATTTATGGCCTGAAATAATGTCCAACAGTGTATATTCATCACAGCAGAATTACAGCATGTCCTTTTTAGGAAAGTTATGATCATTTCCAACATAAATTTCATTTCCACCACATTGCTTGTCTTGCTAGGGCTAATTTAAAATGTTATTCTTCCGTAATACACACTAAAATAATAACTACAGTTTTTGCAGAATTTGTCATACTTATAGTTTAATTGGAAAAGATGCACAAAGGAAAAAAAAATGCTTTTTAAAAAAAATTTGTACATTTACTTTACTACAATTTTATAAAAAAAAAAAAAAGTACTAAAAACAAAATGAAAACCATGTATTGTTTTGTATGTCAATAAATGTCCAGAAGGTTTATGGGTAATTTTCTCATTCGGTTACATACCGGCAGTGAGGTTGACCACTGACGCGGTTCCAGCCGTGATGGCATCCACTTGAGAGTGAATCTCGTGTTTGGATTCATCCACCTTGTTTTGAACCCACACTCTGGATGCCTTTTTGGAGAAAAGAAAGGAGAGTGAATACTAGCATATTCATGTCTTTTTTTCTAAGAAGTCAATAGAGTCAATAAATGAACAATAATTGTATGCCAATGCCACAATGCATTACTGTAATGCCACAATAACACAAACCTTAATATAAATAACCACATTACAAGGCTTTTAGACTAGCTTGTGGCGCATATTCTGACTCAATGTCGCACATGGGATTTGAACTAGCAACCTTCTACTGCATAATACATCACACACAGGGACATACTGGATGAAGATCTTCTCTCTTAACATCTTCACCCACATAAAACCAGGCAATAGATGGTTTACAGCAATACAACATCATTATTTTTGCACTAGTTGCACACTTTACCTTAAAAAAAAAAAGTGTATTTTTCTTAGTATAATTTCTTACCATGTCTTGTCCCAGTGGTGGAAGATTGTCTACTTCTCCCAGGTCAGCTTGTGCCTGCTGGACAGCCTGCATACTGGTGTTGATAGTTCCCATCAGTGCTTGCTGGGCCAGACTCTGATGGCACATGAGTTATTTTATGCAAAAAAAAAAAAAAAGGCTTTTAACACACTCTACGGATGTACGCAAACACAAGCTAGATATGCATCTATTTAGTGCATCGTAGTGTATGAATGCAATTTATAGCTTCACCACAAGGGGCGCTAAAGCGCACATGAACTATTTTAGTTCATTTTTCAAGTAAGGTTAGAGTAACAGTTTGAGAAGTATTTTACAGCTAGCGACCTGAATAAAAGTGCGGTGAAATCTTCGACAAGATTTTGCGGGAATAGTGTAGTGATGTATTGCTCACACAGCAGTCACTTTCAAACCAAGCAGCTTTCTGTCCGTCAAAACGGCGTAAAAAAAAACTTAACTTGTTGTGAAAGCTGTGTGGGGAAAACTTTCACATTGCATTGAATCCTGTTGAAATGACTGGATACAACCACAAAAATTCACTAAAAATGGTACTGTAAATGTGCACCTTAACATGCTGTACACTCCTAGTGGTTTAATGCCACGAACATTTGAAGATAAATTTTGCGTATTTGTGTAGATGTTCTGGCCTTACAGTAAGCAAGGGCAAACCTTGGTGGGATTCGAACTCAGAACCTCATGGTTACCAGTTTAGATCATAAACACTAAACTGTAAAAAATGACCGTGAATTTAACGGCAAAAGACTGTAAAAATGCTACAGTAAAATCCTGTTAAATGGTTAATGGTAAATTCCCCTACTATATACAGTGAAAAACTGTATTGGAAATTACATGTATTGGACATTAATTTTACGGTAGTATACCGTTTTTGGAAGTGAAAAAGACTGTATAATTTACAGTGAATAACCGTAAATTGACAATCCCAGAATTCCCTGCATTACATTTCAAATTTGATGTTTTATTGTTGAAACA